ATAAAATTAATCCACAGAAGGGGAAATTTTCTAAAGCATAATAGGAAGCCAGTGTTGCTGGTTTGTTTGTTTGTTTGTTTTAAATTCAGGTGCCTAAGTGACAGACTTCCATATTATTTATTTGAAGAGACAGAGCACAAGTTGAGGGGAGGGGCAGAGGAAGAGGGACAAGCAGACCCCCTGCTGAGCGGGGAGCCCAATGCGATGCCGCAGGGCTGGATCCCAGAACCCTGAGATCATGACCTGAGCTGAAGTCAGATGCTTAACTGACTGAGCCACCAGGTGCCCCTTCTTTTTTTAAATGTACTTACTCTTAAGCATAATAAAGAGAAGTTTTTAAGTTGAGATTTTGTTAAAAGATAGTATTTGAAATACTGCTTATTAAATGTATAACTGTCTAATTACTTTTCAGAGTACTCACTTCATCTAAATGTAGATAAATTTGTTTTTGAAATCAAAGGGTTCCAACTTGTCACTTAGTATAAACACCTTTGTGACAAAATCTTATACTGACTTGTAACAGTAGGGTACCCCTGACTGTGATGTCAGTTATCCTGATACACTGATTGCACTGTGTCTGAAGAAAAATGTCACATAGGTGTCATAGTGCATGATAGAGCGAGCATTAGATGATGCACTGCCCTTTCCAGCAGTTACCCTTCAGTTTAGCTGTTGTGCATTAAATGAGATAAGGTCTACTAAGAGATGCTTTCCCCCCATTCATTTTCAGTCTGCTGTTAACTAGCCCTAGACCATTTTTATTTCATATTATATGCAAAAATATATCCTTATGAATGTTTATTGAGTAGTAAAGAATGTTCAAGTTACAACCATTTGAACTTTATAAGTCAGCAGACACTTTGGTTCTCTTACACTTTAGGACATATTTGTTACAGGTATCATACATCTTTTCTCACGAACAACAGTCTTACTTTACAGTCTTTTTTTTTTTAGTGAGTAAAAATCAGAGGTCTTCGTGATAGGATATTAAGAACAGAAAAAATGTTTTAAGTTTTTAAATGACAACTTTTGGGTTCCTGTTTTTTTTCTATACTGAGAAATAATTTAGGAGAGATATTATTAAATACATTTGTAGGTCATTTTAACTCAGCCTCAGAGATGTGGTTTGTCCAAAATTACATAACTCTAAAAGATGGAAGACTGCAGGTCTTTTGCTCCCCCGAGACAAGTTGAATGGGGAAAATTCCCACTGATTTGGATTATCCATACCCTTGTATAATTCAAAACAACTGTAAATACGTTTTATATCATTTTTCCTTAAATGTGATTTGTGTAAGTTGCATGTGTTACTCAGAGATTGATCCTAATCAGATGGCCATAGAAACATATTTTTTCTGTTTACACATTGGAAAACATGAAAACACTGTATGAAACAGGTTTTATATGTCTATAATTTTATTTTATATGGGTACCCAAATGAAAAATATTTTTCTGTGATCTTATTGAAGATGCAGTTTTGCATCTTCTACTCAGAATTAGGTAGGTAGAAGGAAATAAAAGTTGTTTTTATGTTTTTAAACAGATTTTATTGATTTTATTTGAGAAAGAGCGAGCACGAGTCAGGGCAGAGGGAGAGGGAGAAGCAGACTCCCTACTGAGCAGGGAGCCCGATTTGGGGCTCGATCCCAGGACCCTGAGATCATGACCTGAGCCTAAGGCAGATGCTTAACTGACTGAGCCACCTAGGTGCCTGGAAATACACATTGTTTTTGTTTTTGTTTTTTTTTATTCTTATGTTAATCCCCATACATTAAATCATTAGTTTTAGATGAATTGTTCCATGATTCATTGTTTGTGCATAACACCCAGTGCTCCATGCAGAATGTGCCCTCCTCAAT